ATAGACCGGTGATGACCGCACAGAGTAGCATTATAACAGAACTTTCAAACGTATCTAGGATGATAAAACAGCGCTGCTTGTTTCCCCCACATACGCACGACCGGAAGGAGCGGAAGCGGTCGACTGTGGCATAATAAAAGCTCCGCTGCTTTCGAGCCGTGTGTCGCGCTCGCTCAGCGACCTCGTTTCGCTTCGATGGCTTTCAGCCTCACCCTGCTTCATTCTACTACGTTAATAAATCATTAGCTCATCCATGAACATGATTTCTGCCCGAGTCCCGTCGGATTGCGTCGGCTGTGGGGATGAAGACCACAACTCCCATGATTCCACACTCAGTCACGCCGTCATCTAACTACGCCTTTGTTTCTTTGTTTATTTTGAATACACGCCCTCTAGCACCGAAAAATTACATATTGTGCCTTTAAGGCGGTGAATGAAGATGTTTCTTAAAAGCGTGTGATTTCTCTCATCATGTGGTGTCTCACCGATGAGTCCGGCCTCCGCGGCGTGATCGAAGTACTAAGAGAAGGTGCAGAAGGTTGCTGTCACGCTTTAAATGCCGTCACACCTGAGCTTCAGACACAGCAAACACAGCCTTCACATCTCAGTAACGCCAGTCAAAGGAGAATTACAACTTATAATCATCATTTTCATTCAACAACTTATGACACATAAACATTAAATTTTTTACTCAATTAAATCTGAAATAAAAAATAAAATAGAAACATTAAATCAAAATTATTTTAGTATTATTTGCCTGTTATTATGGTATCCATTAATATTTTGAATTAGTTTTTATTTGTGTATTTATTTAAAGTTTTAGTAATTTTGTTATACGCTTTTGTCATTTTTAGTATTTTTATTTTATTTAGTTGCCAAGGCAACACTTACAATTTATAGGTTTTCATGTAATATTTATATTTGTTTTATAAATGAAATAAATAGAAATACAATTTATATATTTTACTACTATTAGTAATATTTTATAAAAATCGTTTATGAAGTAAAATTTCCTAAATTAAATACAATTTCATATTAAATGCAAATAAAATTACTTTTATTTTATTTATTGTAAAAATGAAATAAATACAAAATTAATTTATATATTTTACTACTATT